CAATACTCCCCCTTCCCTCCAGGCGGTGTAGGAGACTTATTGTCTGCAGAGTTGCTTAGCACATGTGAGGCAGAACGGGCGGTGCGTGCCTCATGTGAGACAACGGCGATGGCGTGGATGAGCCTGTCGCTGGATACAACTGTCTAGATACACACTATCTGTGGGAGAAGAGAGGGAGAAAAAGGGTGTGTGGAGGCGATTAATGTTGTGCTTCCCTCATGGCAGGTACAGAGTCGTCAGATGCGCCTGCTGGGGTGTGTGGGCCTGGGTCAGGAGCAGGGGCTGCGTCAGCAGAAGCGGATGAGGGCTCGTGACAGCAGCTGGGTCCACTACAGCAGCAGGGTGCAGGACATTAGCAGGGAGTACCTGAGGGAGAAAAGAGGGGTGTGTGGGTCCGCACTCAGGAATAGAGGCCGCGTCAGGGGTTACTGCTGGGCCGGGGTCGGCGTCTGAGGCAGGACGGGTGTGCTGGGGTCGGTAGGATGTGGTGCTTGGGGCAGGAAGAGGAGCTGGTGTCTGCTTAGAGTAGCTGAGCTGCTTCTGTGTGGATAAGCCAGTCTTCCATGCTGCTTGAAGACTGGGAGCGTGATCAGTTTCTCCTCTATCCTGTGTGAATGCGAATCTCCGGGAGTCACCATTTGTAGGGTTACGTGATATCATGTTGTCTAGCACTCAGGATGGATGGATGGAACTCTAAGGTGGTGGTTTTCTTATATAATATAAGTTATATGGTAGACAGTCTGGTGCTGGAGATGCCGTGTGGTGAGGAGCTGCTCAGTAGACACGTTCGGTGAGTAGCGTGCTGAAGGAGGTAGATGTGCAGGAGCTTCGTTAGAGGAGATGTTGCCTGTTGCTGGCCTCCTGGTTGAATGAGAACTGGACAGCGAGGAGCTTGCTTGGAGGAGGTGTTGCGTGTTCAGGAACCGAGGCCAGAATGAATCTTAATGGGAAGACAGAGCTTATATACACAGCAGCCGGAAGTAAACCCGTGGGAACTCGCCGGTTTCTTGACTCCGTTGCTAGGGAAGACGTAGCAGGTGGCTGGTTGCTAGGATACTGTGGCATTGGAATGCGGATACACAGTTGTAGGGGAGACGTCCACTACAGGCTAATCCCCGTAAAACAAAAATTTAAAATTCACCCCCATATAATACTCTACATGTCAAGGCACAGCATCTTGAATTATTTGTAACCAGAATACTCTAGCTTAAACAAATGTGATGTTAACGCACTTATTTTTACTAAATATTGAACAATACAAAACAATCATCATGTATCATACGATGCAGTGAGGTTATGTCATTTAACTGTGACCAAACCAATGAACCATTTCAGAATTACCGGGGAGTAATTATTTGGTATATCCATGCAAAATAAAATGACTATACGACAAAGCGGAGGCGTTGAGCAGTTTATTTTCCCGGTGTTCACAGGAGAGGATGCGATTAACCTTCTTGCGTTTGAGGACAGACGGTTCGACACAGCGCTGACCCACATTGTGTTCTCAGAAGAGGTTGTAAGAAATAAATTGCCAAAGCTAAAGGTTCTTAAGATTCCCGGCCCTGACATGGTACATCCCAGAGTGCTAAGAGAGTTGTGCAACGAGCTTGCCGAGCCCCTGAAGATCCTGTTCTGTAAATGGCTGAATGAGCAAAAGGTCCCAGTGATTGGAAAATGGCTTTTGTGAGTACGATTTTCAAGAAGGGCGATCGACACTCCACGAATAACTATATACCAGTGAGCCTGTCCAGCATAGTATGTGCTGTAAAGTACTTGAGAGCATTATAACAGATGCCATGGTGGAACATCTACTACGAAACAATCTTTTAAAGGATTGCCAACACAGTTTTATGCGGGGACGCTCCCACTTAACATAATTATTCAAGGTACTGGATTTTGGGACCCGAATTCTGGAAGGAGGTGGTAATATCGACAATATATACCTAGATTTTGCCAAGGCTTTCGAGAGCGTACCCCATGAAAGGCTGAAAATTAAACTAGAAAGGTACGGGATTCAGGGAAGTGTCCTAGCGTGGATCAGATACTTTCGCCATGACCGCAAGCATGTGTGTGATGATTATTGTCACGAAATCATCATGTGCACCCGTCAGCAGCGGTGTACCACAGGGCAGTGTATTGGGCCAGTTGTTGTTTGTTTGCTTCATAAAGGACATGCCAGAAGCTGTACATTCCTCTATGCAAATGTTTGCAGATGATGCCAAGTTATTTCGGGAGATTAAGAGCCAAGCAAACTGTGAAGAGCTTCAGAAAGATCTCTGTGAGCTTCAAGAATGGTCGAAGAAATAGCTGCTGAGATTCAATGTCACGAAGTGTAAGAGGCTGCACCTGGAATGTACCAATCTTTTATCCTCTTCACCACTGATCGGCTCGATAGCCGCTTGGACGATCGGTCACGTCTCTGTTACGAACTGTTAGCAACTACTGGGCATGCATGGGATCCAGAATGTAGCTCAATCTGCTCCAATGTTGGTCAAATCTTGTCTTGAAAGAGCTCACACTCGGTGCAGTCACAACACTTTCTGGTAGATTGTTCCAAGAGTTCACAACTCTCACTCCTGGGAAGGAGGCGTATCATATGTACCCTCTCTCCCCTCAGGAGTTAGCAAATGTACCTTTTATCGCCTCAACAGTCAACAAATGTACCCTCTCTCCCCTCAGCAGTTATATAGTCGCAGGTTGCCACTCCCTGGGACCCTAAAGGATGGCAACCACCCACTGTCCCTCCACGACCGCCCGTGAGTCGGTTCACAGTTTTGAAGATTTACGATGTAAAAATTTTAGAAAAGCCTATGGGATTTTTGTGCGTGATTCCGGGTCTCTTTGCGAGGGGAGAGTTTGCACATACTGTATGTTATGTTTGGTTAGTTCATATTTTATCTCTACAGTGTACTGTATATGACCTCAACCTATCACCAAAAAAAATTTCTTACCACATAAAAAGTAATGTATCCAGACAACCAAACTTCTGTTTGTTTCTCCATAAATGTCAGAAAGTTAGCATATCCAGCAAGTTATAACTAGAAAGAAGAACTGATCCAGTGACTTGTCAACTGACCTCATGTACATGTAGTCCCGCCACACACCACAGAACAAACTATATTATGCTGTATACTCAAGGGCGGGTCCAGGAATAGCAAAAGGGGGGGTCGAAGAAGTTGTTGGGGGAACATGGCGAGCCCCCCCAGCTGGGGGGATCTGGCGGGTGCGGTAACCCCCCCCCCCCCCAATAATTATTTTTGAGATGACTAATATCATTGACATTTTGAGGCCATTTTGAAGCCATGTGTACTTGACATTAGGAGATATTCTGAAGTCAATAGTAAATACTCTTTAATATATAAAAACGCCAGAGCACAATACTGCAATAAAAGCATTGAAATTTTCTGGTGAAAAGAGGGTAACCCCCAGGACCCCCCCCCCTGGATTCGCCTTTGATACCTTATTCCCTTCTTTCTCCTTCCTTATTCTGATAAGCATTTCGCTGCTCTTGAAAGTTTGTACAGTACAGTATCAAACACTGGTTTGGACAGGTACTTTGTTTATGTACCTGTATTTATATATATATATATATATATATATATATATATATAAATAATTTTTTTTTTTTTACGGGAATGGTCCACCCTGTCACAGGTCATCGACCCACAATGGGGGCCTGGGGGCGAAAAAATAACAATAAAAAGATGCCGGAAAACCAGCTTTTTAAAGTGAGACAGATTGTATGAGTGTGGAAACACAGAAGACAGAACATTCCACAGTTTGGCTGTGTGAGGAAAGAAGGAGGTACTATAACGGGTTATTCTAGTGTCACCAACATCCACAGAGAAACGGTGGGCACCGCGGGCAAGACGAGTGTTACGAGCCCACGGCCTTACCGGCGGTACACAGGATGCCAAATCCACAGTACATTGCCCATTAAAGTACCTGTAAAAGAGAGAGAGTGAAGCAACATTGCGGCGAAGAGAAAGGGAAGAAACATTATCAACTAAAGGAGGAGAGTTAATAAGACGAAATACCTTTGATTCCACCCTATCTAACAGTTGGACACAAGAAGAGCCACCCCAGATATGAGAGCAGTACTCCAAGTGGACCCAATGAATCCCTTCTATACTTGAAGCAACTGCTCAGGAATGAAGTAGCTACGGCATCTGTACAGCATTCCCAGCTTTCGGGGGCAGCTTTAGCAATGTTGAGGACGTGTGGCTTCCATGACATATTAGAGGAAATGATGAGACCTAGCATATCTATTTTAGAATTTGGCAGAATGATGTAATTAGTGGGAGATCATCTAATTTGAAAAGTTTAATTGATAAAGACTGAGTTCTATATCAACTTCTATGGTAAGTTTTCTAAATAAATATATATGTACCTTATAAAAAATGAATACCAACTTTAAATAATGCACATACATCAAGTTAGGTCCTACAATAGTTAAATATGGGAATGATGTGTGTGAACTAACAATGGGAAGAGAGCAAACTACTGGTTATCACGTTAATCTTCCTCGCACACTTACTGTAGTTAAATATGACATTACCATATATAAAAGGTTATTCAATGTAGGTCTCTTTTGATAATTATGTCTTGATATCTACATTTAATCAATGATAAAACAGAGGGTATGTTCAATATATTAGTTACTTTCACATTGAGTTTAAAGTATGAATGAACTTGAACAGCGTAAAAGTGATAGTAGAAATTACAAAATAAAAGATATTAGTTATATTAATATTTACTGATAAGGAAATAAGAGATATTTTAGCTGATTCCCTCACAGCCAATCACCTAGGCCAGCGTGTTGACCAGATTCCTTTATAATATAATTTAACATAATTCTCCATTACTCATCATTGGCTGAAGATTAAAAAAAAATAATTCACTAGATATTTTTTATATATTTTTATTATTTAATGTTACTTAGACATAATATGATAGAAATATTGCTGTAGGTGACTTAGAGGTAAAAGAATGGATAACTAGCAGACGACAGATGGAGTAAATTGTTGACAGCCTTACAAACCTGTGGAGTCTCTACCTGTCTACTGTCACCCTTCAATTTACCATGGGCTGTAAGACCTATTATCATTCCTTACTCATCTTGCTGGTATATCTCTCAAGAACTAATGGTCTTGGAGAAGTTATATATGCCGTCAATGCAGGTGAGTTATGTAAAGGGGTGTTATTAGAAATAGGGTCATCCAACTCAGGGGTCACCAGAATAGGTAATTATTAGTGTTAGCTTATGGTTGAGGCTGGTTGTTAGGCCAACTGAAAGTATATTAAATAAAAAAAACTACTGGAAGTCATGAGTAGTGTGTTTGGTTTTTGTGGATGTATTGATAATTGTTACTATATTCAATACAAATATGTAGAAGGGAGGAAGAATCATTAATGTGCTATGTTAACTTTTACAATGATAAGTGTTGGAAAGTTGATAATATTTTACTAATGTGTTGAATGGTTGTTAGTGATTCAGCTGCAACAAAACATGGTTGTAGTTATTGGATATTTTAATGGGATCACCTGAAGAATTTCTACCCTAGTTTACTTCACCTAAAGGTTCACCACCCTAATACTAGGTTACATTAACATTAGGGTGGTTAATCTTTAGGTGAAATAAGGGTCATTTTTTGTTAACCACTTCTCACATTTTTTATGATTTTTTTCTCTTGGAGAAACGAAAGAATATACTTGAATTTAGCGCAGCGTTCCAAAAATAAACGCGATATTTGCACTGGCGGGTGTATGTGCTGGTTGCAGTGAAGCTCATTGGAAGTTTATCGAGCACTTTTATGAGGAAAATTCAAAAGAACAAGGCGTCATTGTAGGACATGGCCTGTTAGCTTAGGTTAGTACATAGACCTAGTTTAGTTTTAACCTTTTTGTCCCAGGAAAAAAAAAATTTCGCTAGTTTTTTTTGCCGTTTTAGATGATTCCGACATTTATTTTTGGTGAAAGTAACTTGTTTTCAGCCCCCCCTCCCCCCCCCCTCAAACCCCACATTCCCAATGTGGCTCCCTACATTGTTGGGGTGGAAAGGGGGGGGGGTGATTTGCCCCAGAGATAAATGTCAGAATCATCTAAAACAGCAAGAAAACTAGCGAAAAAAATATTGTTTTCGTGGGAAAAAGGTGATGGGTAGTTAACGAAAAATGACCGAAATTAGTTGGGGTGGAGATTAATCAGGTGATCCTTTTAATGTATTCTGCAACGCACTTATAATTATGACAACTGAGCATAAACAGGAAAAAAAATGAGAATCTGCCTTCAGGGTATAGTAGTCATGACAACAAAGCTGATGTACTGTAATGAGCCTATACCTTCATCACCGCAGAGTGGCTCAACCTAACCTAGCTTAATCAATTTTAGTTAGATTGGGTTAAGTTAGTTTATGTATTGTGTTTTTTCAATAACTTATGGTGGGAGTCACCCAGATTACACTTTATTTACTCGACTACAGCACTTCATACCCAGATTTTCACGCGTTTGAACTTTTTCCAGAAGTTCAAGTAAAGTCTTTAACATAGATTACAGTAAAATAGATGGATTTTATTTCACCTGATTATTAAACTCCTTAATGTTAATCTAACGTAACCAAACCTAACCTAACCAAGCCAAACCCCCATTTAGCATTAGGGTTTTTTAATCGTCGGGTGAAAAGGTGGAGGTTAGTAGTATTGATGAGACTTAAGTAGACTTGCATGTACTGGTGCTGCTTTTGCTCGAATCCCATCACTGATAACCGTCTCGTGCTGAAGTAATATTATTATGATTGGTTAATTGCACACAGGTTTATGAATCATGGTGAGCTGTTGACTTTCTCTGCCAAAACATCTTATGAGTTTATGCTGTACCGTATTCTTTGTTTTATACTGTACTCACAAGTCTGGCTAGTGTTGGAATCAAGTCAGATTTTTTCTTTGTCCTTTTCCAGGAAAGCAACTACTGTACATCAAACTTGTTGCTCACCAAACAGGCTAAAGTGATACACAAACTGGCATGTACTGTGTATAGCTTCTCTAAACAAAGGTGGATAGTTGTTGTTGGAGTAACATTGCAATATTTACCTGGGAGAATTTATCTTTAAATCTTCCTTCTTGAGAGAAAAACTTAGTAATATTTAGAAGGAACTAACCAGCTCTGTGTTGTCTCTTGTTCAAAAATATACAGCCACTTCTCGACTTACGACGGGGTTAGGGACGCAAATCCAGGTCGTAAGTCGAAAATGCAAAGGTAATACATAGAATATCTAAAATGGGTGTCTCTTTTTCTTCTCAGCACCACAAAACTCACTTTAAAGCATGCCAGCCATTTTAAAGGGAATTACAAATGAAAATTTTGTCAGTACACAGCACAATCACTAATGTTGGGACTCGAAAATACGTAATTTGAATAAATTTTGGTACGACTGGGGCGGTCGTTTGTCCGGGTGGTCGTAAGTCGAGTAGGTCGTAAGTCGAGGAGTGGCTCTATATGAAAGTATTGCAGGAATGTATACAGTATTTAGTGAGTGTTTTTCATTCAGGGGTTTTCAAGGTGGAAAGGACACTCACAGAATGAGATTTTCAGTATACATTACTGCATTGAAAACATTAGGAGTGTTTGTACAGTACTGTATTTGTATCTTTAAATGTGAATTGAAAAGCATTAATTTTTCTGAGAAAAGGCAGTAGTCTCGACCTCTTTGCTGTCTTAATAAGTAATGTTGGCTGGGCAGTGTGAGGTGGTACATCTATGGGTCTCAGATTAAGTTGTCACTTGTATAAGAATTGTGCAGATGAGAAGTGGCACGTTTTGATTTGTGGCAAGAAAAAATTATCATAGATCCATAGTCTCACCAGTGAAGGGAATTGGGGTTCCTAGATCTATGTTGTCACCACTGGAAAAATCAAGACAAGGTTTGTAGTAACTTTGTGTATAAATTAGGACTGCAGCTGTGTAAAAACTGTACCTTGGAGTTCATTAATTTCCAGACTCGGTTAGCCATTAGATTTATAACTACAGTAATATACACTTGTTTTTTAGGTGGTGATGCTCACATTGATGTTTATGGTGTGAGATATGAGAAGGATCCTCTCACGGGTAAAGTAGGCACTGCTTCAGACTTTGGCAAGCAGCTAGTTATTGGGAGAGTACCACCAGGTGATCAGGTAAGTTACTGTCATGATACAATACTTTTTTCATTTTTTCTAAGATTTATTTCCCATTTGGAGTTAATTATTGAAATTAATTTTGCTTTAAATCAGGATCAGCCATAATTTCAGTAAGGAAGGAGGTATGAAAGCTGATAAACTTGAGAAGATGATGACCAGCAAGAAAGATACCTGTACTGGTTCCCTAATGGCTCTTGAGACGTAAAGCTATGGTACTCCTTGGAAGCTTAGGTCACTTACCATGAAGTGAAACATGAGAACTTGAGTATGCAGTAGACAAAATAGAAGTGAGAGAGAAAACGTACGTGTGGTGGAAATGATACCTTGAAGATGGGAAGTAGAATTTGAGGAGTGGATGTAGTGAAAAATATGAATGGTCTTGTTCACTGAAATATATAGAGAGAGTAGCAGAAGAGTGAAGGGAGGGGTTATTCAGATGTGAAGTGTGAGTTAGAGCTGACAGAATTATGTAAATGGAAGAATGGTAAGAGGGGAGACAAAGTAAAGATCGTGAGGCCAAAAGTATGTGGGAGGGATGTTAATATGAAAGAATACTACAGTAGATGGCATGTGTGGGGTGGGACTATTGGTGTGCATGGAGAAAGGAGTTTGGTTATCAGTACACTGTAGATAATTGGAGATGTGTACAGTAACCCGTATCTTGTTGGATACAAATAGTTGGAGTAGAAAATTGATTATCAGACAATGAAAGTTTAATGTGTAATGATATACTGTACAGTATTAAAAGTTTGAATAGAATGAATGACCAGTCGATGAAAGTTTTACCCAAAGAATGTGAATGACCAGTCGATGAAAGTTTTACCCAAAGAATGTGTTGGTTAAGTATATGACAAAGGATAACATGCATGTACTGTATGTAAAGAATGTATGTATGTAGGGAAAAATTCACAAGTAATGAAAGATGAAATGAAGAAGATATAGAACACTGTGCGGTGGAAGGACTGATTGAGGTAGGGAGCGAATGTGATGATGTGTCTTGTGCCGGGACTAAGGCTGTTAAGTATACTTTGATATTGTTGTGTTGTGGGAAGTGGCAAATTTCATACACAGGTGGGTAAGTAGTTGTGTTAGTGGATGATTGTATTGGGTGCTGTTTGTGAGGTGTACAGTATGGTTGAGTGTGTGGTACTAAAGGTGTGCTGTGGTGCATCATTGTGTAATTGTTCGACATGAAATTTCAGGGATGAGTGGATGTGTCGGAGCAATTAACTCTGTGCCCCTGATATCAAGATGGTCTTGTATGGAGAGAATTATTAATTTAAAATATATAGGTTCCTGATATTAGTTGTTATAATGTACAGTACTGTGTTATTGATCTGAGGGCTTAGTTGTAGGTCACAGGGAGTTTTTGGGTGTTGGAAGCAGACATTGTGGTGTAGATGAATTATTTGCATACTGTAATTAGTGGTTTGATGTCCATAGGTAAATGTATACTGTAGTATATTAAATTTGCTTGTGGCTTTAATTTTAATGTTTGTTGTGTGTGAAGGCAATGTGTATCTAGTATGATGCCAAGGATTTTAGTTTCTTTGTCTAGTGTTATATTGTAATGTGTGGGTGAACTTGAGGGTTTTATCTATCAGAGATAAGGAGGATACAGTAACCCTCCATGAACTTTCAAGTATCTCGTGAAAGGTCGGCCACTTTCTTCTTGGCCCTCATATTTACTTAACTTGTTCTCTTAGGATTTTGTTGGTGTGCGTCTACTGTTGCCACAATATGAGTTATGGCCCTTTGGACGACTTGACTAAGATGTTGTGGGACCTTGTTTATCTTTTATGATAAGCTTTTTATTTATTAATATAAATTACTATATGTATTTATTTGAATATACTGTACTTATTGATGCTCTTACTATCATGACAACTATTACATAATTTATACATTACATTATACTGTATTATAGTCATTTAATCACATAAATTTGGGTTCTGTGCAAGCAGCCAACAAAGCATGAAGTTATTTGATGGCTAGATAATCAGATTTAGATATCAGAACAGAAATACAGTACAGTATAGGGCTGAGGTGAAGAAAGAAAGGGAGGGGCAAAAGTAGAAAAAAAAAGGAAAAATTTGACTTTACATTTTCAGGTCCTGCACACCAGATGACTTCATTTAACTTGTATCATTACCATCATAGATGTGTATACTGTACTGTACCAGCTTGGCCATGTGGTGAGGTAGAGTTTAAATGAGGTGCATGGTAGACATTTTTTAAATTTAAGTAGCTACCCTGTACAGTATATGTACAGTACTGTACTGTATTTGTTATGCAGCTTAAGATTTATTTTTGAACTTTAGTAAAGCAGTACAGTACTCATGTATCCTTGTATATTGCAGGTGCTGTATCAGACTGAGAGATATCACCACTCAACATTTGGTTATGAAATCCCCCTCAAAGGTGATGGAGACTATGTTCTTGTTCTTAAATTCTCGGAAGTCTACTTCAACGCACCAGACCAGAAGGTTTGTGACTTATTATTTAAACCATTTTAAAAAGAGACAAAAAAAGGTTGTTAAAGTAACCATAATACATACTGATAGTATCTAAGGAATAGTAGACTTGTGCTGTTATACCTGCTGATGGAAGAGTGAGTTGACAAACATTACAGAAGTTACTAACAAGTGAGGTGCAGCCCAAAATGTGTCAATAATCTTGAGGGTGTTTCACAGGTGTTGGTACTATTCCGGTGCTTTAGTTGTGGAAACATTGGCTATAGAAGAATATAAATTAAGTCATTCATCATAAAGTAGAAATTTGTATTATTTCTTGGCACTTATGATTAATGATACAACAGATGGGATCAAGACAATATAAGAACAAGGAAAAGCAGGACTGATGTGTTTGATCTGACTTTGGTGGAAAATTCCTGTGTCTGTAGATTTATAAACATCCTGTGCAAAATCTTTAGTAATGTGAGAGTCAAGCTTGCATTACAGTGTTAAATTATTGCAAAGAAGAAAGCAAGTAATGGTTGAAATAGGGCAAGTGAATGAAAAGAGTCAATTATTTGTATGGTTCCATAAAGCTTGTTTATACAGTAGTGGGGGCTTACCTAAATGGGGACCCTGCAGGCAAAGTAGTCCTCTCCCTTCTCTTTTTATGCCAGTATGTCCCTGATGAAATCTAGAGTTTTGTACTGTTCCGTAATTAATGCTTCCCAGATGGTCACTGTAATGCTCTTGCACTACACCTTACACAGAATGTAAGGGGGTGCCCAATAAACTAGCCCCTTGTGTTACATGGGGGGCCAATCTGAACTTACTATTATAACCTTACAAGCTTAAGTACAAATCTAATTTCTCACATCTACATCCCACATGGCTTATGTCTTATTGAATTGATCACATAGTCAAGACAACCACCTGGCAGATGAGTTATTGAGTAAGTCTTTTCATTACTGTCATATTGCAACATATATTAACACTTAAATACTACAATACAGAAGTTGAAAATGTCTCTTATTAAGTTTAGTTCTTGTTTGCCGCTGTAAAAACAAGTACAGTAGTCCTTCGTTTTTCATGGGGGCTGTGTTCCTGATGTTGCCTTGAAAGAGCAAAACTTCAAATACTCTTTTTCCAGATTTTCACTTTCCATGTAATATTCATTATTATAACCTATAATCTATCCCTGGTCACTTGTATGGCCCTAAACATGTTTTTAGTGATCTGTAAACCTCTCTCCCTCTCACATTTCATTAAATAACATGTAAAGACAACATAAAGATGCAAATAAAAAAATATATATTTTATATATTGCATACCAAAAAAATACAACCAGCCCAGTTATGTTGTTCCATCCCTTTGATCCTTCCCCCAAGTCTTCCCCGGGTACAGTAGATCACAGCAGGTGATGATGAATAATAATGATGATAAATGATGAGGATTAATCTGTAGCAAACTGTTACTTTGTTCATCCCATATGCCCCAGTGCTAAGCCACATAGCTCATGCTGCTCTTAAGTTTCTTTATTATTTCGACACGACTAAAGTCAACAATTTTCTATTTCTCTTTGGCGTGTTACCGCCCTTGTCATCACCTATAGAAGGATGTTTTGGAGCCATGGTGGGATTTTAGAGCACAAAAGACAGGGGTCGCAGTGAGATGTATACACATTATGGTCGGGGACGCGAGTGAGACAGGTGAGGCAGGAAGCTGTACATAGGAGGACTATACTATTACCATATGCTGAGAATTTCAAGTTTTACTAAATGAACCCACATGGAATTACATCCATTTTAAGAATAAAATTTTCAACAGTGTTTATGTATGCAAGGTAATACTGTAGCTCAAAACCAGGTACAGTAAACCCTTGGAATAGTTAGATGGAGTCTATGGAACGTTTATTGAGATAGTTTGTGAAGTTAATGATAGACTACATAATTATAATCACATTTATCTTCTCAGGTTTTTGATGTTGCAATGAATGGTGACATGACAGTGGTTCCAGCGCTAGACATCTTTGGGAGAGTGGGTCGGGGGGTGGCGCATGATGAGTATGTACCCTTTACGGTCGCTTCTAATACACTCATAGTTGGAGGCCAAGAAAGTCCTCTCAGGAGTAATAGAGTCAAGGTTGACTTTGTAAAGGTAAGTAATAGTACATAGAAAATAAGTTAACATTATGTAAAGTTTCTATCGTTTTATAGCATCAATTTCATAAGTGATATCCTGTAACACATGACAATAGTGATTTAGTTCTTAATATTTAATTTGTCTTTCTCATTCCCAAGTGTCTCTAAAGTGCCCACCGCTTACGCCATCTGTTAGTATGTGTGTCCCACTTATCTGACAATTATCAAGCTGAAGAAGTCTTTAATAAGAGTGATTATATCTATTACTCCAATAATTACCAAGTTCTAGTCGAGTTCAGTAGTCTATTTTTCTCTCTGTTTAGGGGAGCTATGGCCCATTTTTCTCTTTATGGAGTCTTGTGGTTAACTTAATGATGAATTGTATTGATTGGGTAAATTAACAAAGTTCTGTACTGTACACTGTAACACATTCTGAAATAGAAACTTTAAAGTGGAATGATTCTAGTTGTTGTTGTGAGGCGTCCACTTTATGGGACAGATTACTGTATATTTTGCCGTATTGTGGTTATTTATTAGTTCCTGTTAGTTCATGTATCTGTCCCGCAAAGTTTGTAATCAAATTTATGCAAAAATTTTTCCGATGTAGAGCAGTGTAATACAGTTATCCCCTTACACTTGTATCCAATAAATGAAAAAGCTATTAACATAAGGCACAGTTTGATGCTGTTTTCTTTATACAAAAGCAAACATTCATATTAATGAATACCGTAATAGTCACATTTTGCCACCTTTGTTTCCTTAACCTCTTGTGCACAGTGTGCTGAATAAAATCATTTGGTATTAGTCAAATAAAATAGTAAAAGTGGCGTCCCCATAGTGAAGGGGTTAACCCCTTAGTTACGCAAATTGCCCTCACCGTTGTTTCTCACACACACAAACGCAAAAAAAGGGAAATTTTAATTCATAATTTTTTGGTGTTGTATTTATATACGGTATGCATACATACAGTGGTCCCTCGATTAACGAGCACAATTGGTTCCACAGAGTCCGTCTTTAACTGAATCTATTACAGTACAGTATTTCTATGGGATTTTGGGTAATTGGTTCCAACTCACAGTAAAAGTACATACAAAGTACTGTATACTGGTAATAGAGTTAACAAAACATTAAATATAAACAAAATACAGTACTGTACTGTACTGTACAGTATACTGTATTTTAGCTTACTTTGAGGTGAGTATGTCCTATTACCGGTGGCTTTTTTTTTTTTTTTTTACACAGGGATTAGCCCACCCGGGCACAGGTCACTGACCCACATCGGGGCCTGGGGCGGGGATATAATAATAATAATAATTCAGATAAGTAAAATTTATAATAAAAAATGCAAAAATAAAAATAATAAAATATTAATTGTAACAATAATAATAACACTGCAATAATAATAATAATAATAAAATAATAATAATAATAATAATAATAATAATAATAATAAAGAACTAAAAAAAAAGATCAAAAGTGAGAAACAATATACAGTACAGTATTTATGTTGTGTTGTCAATAGTAAGAGAAATAATTGAGACCCTGCAATTGTGTGTAAATGAGGCAGAAAGTCAGATGAGCAACCTGGGACTTGGTCACAATTTTCGTGATGCCATATGGCAGCAGGGTCTACCATTAGACAACACATTATGCTTCCAATATCTTCCCAGGCGGTAGTACCTCCCTGTTTGGTAGTTGCCTACTACCTACTGTTTACATAGCAAACAGCTAATTGTAGAGGCAGTCGATGATGGCATGACATATTCTTTACAGAGTGCATTGGTTCTAATGCCTTCTTTGTATTTCTTAATAATTTATGCACTGAATATTACCAATATGTTAACTAAATTTCAGAATGACCAATAATTTTAAGAGTAAAAATTAAAAAAAAATATTCAAGAGACCAACAAACTCAATGTTCACTCCACTGTAAACAAAGTTAAACTGAGAGGAGTTGTTGGGCGATTCGATCGGCTGATGGGCACACAAAAACTGTTCCCTGTACTGTATATACGTATATTATCAGTATGATAACTAAATTTCAGAATTACCAATAATTTTAATATATAAAATGCAAAAATATTCAAGAGCACAACTTTCTTGATATTTACTCCACTGGAAACGAATGTAAACGTAGAACCGATTACTGTATTGGTGGACTAGTCTCTCGGCTGATCAACTGATGCGCACACCAAAGCGTGTTTCTCGTAAGACTGTCATTAATAGAAGTTGTACATGTTAATAGAGCTGAAAATCCTTATGGGAGCTAATTCAATAACTGAAAGCTTAGTATGTATAAGGTAAATTTTGGACTTATCCATAAGTACAGAATACTTCTAAGAGTGTAATTACAATAAAATTACCTGTACATGCCAGTAGTGTTCATCTCAGTGCCACCCCAATGGTAAACAAATTATGTGTAGAACACACACACTAAAATAATGCTGGTGAAAGAGTAGATGTGGTGGAGGGATCAGGGGAGGAGTGGGTACAAGTACTAGAGGGTAATGAGGAGGGGATGGACATTGGGGGGATGGAACCTGTGAAGGTAGTGGGGAAGCCTCCAGTTACCACAAATCCCTTTTCTTCAGTTTAGTAGCCATGGGGGCTTTGTATTCCCGGCAAAATAAAAGTGAGTACAGGTAATTTGAAAGCATAACCAGAACATGTCCTACATCAATCAATTGGGTTAGTAACATACTGGGGCTAGTACTTTAAGGGTTAAAGAATGCAAACTTTTAGTTGTCATTTAATCAAGATGGCCACCCAGGATGTACCGAGATGCATTTACACTCTCCTGCTTAATGTTAATTTTTAATGTGGAAAAAGAGCCCAATTGACTAATGATTCTTTCCCTAATAATAAACGGGTTCTACCATTCGATATAAATATTTTCACTAAATGACTGGATGTTCAAGAACCCAACCACTTCATATATCAGAGATGGTCATCTTACCTGATTAAATTTTTTGAACTTCATGGTAAATTTTTGCACTAGTGAGGGAATGCTATATTAAGTTCAACTATGTTAAGCGAAACCTGTATTCCCAAAGGCTTCCATGATATACGATGAAATGAGATACATTACAGGCGCAAGTTTTTCATTCCTAATACTGTTATGAATTGACATGCTGTACAGAAATATACAGTACTGTACATATAACAACGTAAGTGCAATACTGTAGTAACACTCAAGATGAATGTACAGTAGAAGCAGCAGGCAAAAGTACCAAAACAACCACTATGAGGGAGTCTATCAAGCTACTTTATACAGAATCTGTGGAGCCTCGTGCTGTAGGTGTGAGAAGCAGTACTGTACTGCCAATCTCCTGTAGCAACATGTGTTTTTTCAAACTCTAAATTACATAATGACAAATCATGAATTAGTTCCTAAATTTATCAGGAATGTTACAGTATAATAAAACTATATTTGAAGGTTCCAGTGTGGCCCTACCAAACATTACTGGTTTCCTCTAGGTACTCCGGTTTCCTTCTGTACTATAAAGGTCATAACAAAGTACAGTACTGCAACTAACAACAGACCAGTCGTTATATATGGGTGTTGTCATGGCAACCTTGCTAGTTGCTACTTGTTTACTTAAATATGAAACAAAACATTATGTGACATGTTGTTGTGTGGTCAGTTGTTTGATGTTTCTTCCCTGAGCTAGTTTATATTGTATGGGGATGTTAATGTTTTTAGACTTTGTATTACAATAATGCTCGAGTCATTTTGCTTTTAATATGGAGAGAGAGAAACATATGTAAGGAGGCAAGGATATGGCTGTAGAAGGGAATCATGGCTCCTGGGTGTACAAGGAGGAGCCTAAATACAGGTTATAGAAATGACGTGTGTGTGTGTGAGGCGAACAGGATGTAGAGAATAAGAAACACAGGAATTAAGGAGATGTAGCAGTTAAAGTGGTGTTGGACAGAGAGCCAACTAAGGTGGTACAGGGAAGTTGAAGATTTAAGTGGGTGCTGTTCTTTGTAAGAGAGGACGGCATGAAGTGGTTTATCTTATCTTGTCTACGATGCTTCACTTCTCTAAGGAGGAAGTGATGATAGCCTCCCTGGTGCTCTCTCTCTCTCTCTCTCTATATATATATATATACGTACTGTAGTATATATAATATGTATTACCCTTTTCCTCTCCCCTGTTGTGTCTATATTGTATTACTTCACCTTCTTCCACATTTTAGGTGATCTTTCTCTCTCTCTCTCTCTCCTGTGTACTTGTTCCATTTTCCTGAGAGGTTTTCCCTATGAAATAAATGTTACTGAAAAGTACCTGTATTACATCAACAGTTTAACATTACTACCTTACTTATAAAGGAACCTATTTAGCCACACAACCTTTATATAGGTGGAGATCCATTCCTATGGGGAAAATATTGGCCCAAAGCATGAGAAAACTATATAATAAATGCACCAAACTTCCTACTGTTTTATACAGTTTTAAACTGAGATTAACATATTTAAAATGGATTTTTTTTTCAGTAAAAACCCAATAATTTGAAATAATACGGACTCTAGCCCTCACGAAATATGAGGGACATCTCCCGAGGAAAAAACAACAGTACTTTTCCATTATCTGCCCCAAGCAAAATTTTAACATTTCTAAGTACAGTACAGTACAGTACAGTACCTCTGTACCAGATTTCGGTGCTTGGTCCATGGTTATCAGATATAATGACTCAAACACTGGGCAATGATGGAAAAACAAGTGGGACAAGGATTGCCCAGTAGACTGTGGATGTACACTCCATGACTGACCAACATGAACTGACAGTGACTGACAAACATGATATAGTACCTGTACTTTGTTTACACCGAGATATGCGGTCGGCGGTCACATCCCATGGCAACATGCGTGTCATTTATATTTGTAAAGGATTTTCATACTTAAAAATTTTACCAAATACTGTATTACAAAATTTGAAAAATATATTTTGTAACAGCAAAACATATACGTAAATTAGGATTGATTTTGAATTACAGAGGTACGATTTTTATTTATTTTTTCTTCACTGTAATGGCAAACCTCAGGGAAAGTAGTAGTGGGTGACAACCAGCTGGCTCATCTATCCTCTTCCTAACTTATCATTTGCTCTGCTTACAAATATGGTGAATCTTGCACTTGCATATATGGTATTTGCTAGAAATACAAATTTATACAGTACAGTACAGTAAACCCTCAAAAGTCCAGACAATTTGGGGGGGAAAGTGGGTCTGGATTTGCCAATTGTCTGAACCTTTACCCTTTTTATTTTTTTAGGGGGGGGGGGTCCACTGTGCTCTAACATTAGCTACTGCCCCACCCCCCCTTTGATGACCCTTAAATTTTTATTTTAACAGATCCAAACTACAAACCCTAATACCACCCACACACCCTCCAACACCACCCCCACACACCCTCCAACACCACCCCCACACACCCTCCAACACCACCCCCACACACCCCTGATACGGGAATTAACACAACAACACATTCAAAGTGAGGGTGACTACTGGTTTAATGCTTTGATTTATAATAATATATTAGGTGAAGTTCTTATTTTATGACATAACTTTGTGTATGGGTAACTGATGGACAAGTGTGTGATTGCATTGATAACTGAACATCATATTAATTCTGCTGAAAGAAATACACATTGCATTAGGATACTGTACTTATGTTAACCTACAGTACAGTGGTATCTCCATTAGCCGGAACAATTGGTGCAGAGCACTTCCTGGAATGAGAGATTTCTGGGTGACGAGAAGACTCTCTCAAAGCCGGAAAAAATCCCTCATCCCCGGAATTTTCTCGGTGACGGAAAAATGTTCTCGGAAGTTCCAGAAATTGCCCCTTACAATTTCTCTCGAACCCGGAAAAATATCCCCCATCCCTGTTATTTTCCGGGTACCGGAAAGTTTTTCTCGGAATTTCTGGAAAATGCACCCGATTTTTTTCTCTCAGACCCAGAAAAAAACTCCCCCAATCTCCGGAATTTTCTTGGTACAGTAGGTCGGGATATATAGCGACTTTATGAAACGATTTTTTTTTTATATAGCGGCTGTCAAAATTATTGACATTTTCCTATATATAGCGATAATTTTTATATTTCATGAGGGAAATCTGGCAGGAAATATTTCAAATTTATCACAACTACCAAAATTGTCCAATACAGCTACTCCCCGACTTACGACCACCCAGACATACGACCGCCTCGGTCGTACCAAAGTTTTGTCAAATTACGTATTTTCGAGTCCCAACGTCAGTGATTGCGCTGTGTACTGACAAAATTTACGTTTGCAATTCACTTTAAAATGGCTGGCAAGCTTAAAAGTGAGAGTTTTGTGGTGCTGAGAAGAAAAAGAGAGACCCATTTTAGATTTTCTATGTATTATTTTCGCATTTTCGACTTGCGACCTGGAATTGGGTCCCTAACCCCGTTTTAAGTCGGGGAGAGACTGTACAGTACATTTTAGTACAAATGACAAAATTTTTTATCTAGTGCAAAATATATGATGTCTATATTCAAATTATTTGCTATTTTACAAGGATTCCAGCAATGTAATTTATATTCTGCTAACTTTAGACTGTGCCACATTTATTGGCCTCCAGAACCTAACCCTATTTCCCCCATTGATTACATGTAATTATATACGGTGTTGTGATTTAGTGTATAGCGAACATCCCAACCCTACTGTATCGGGAAAATTTTCTCAGAATATTCTGGAAAATGTGCCCTTTGGAAAAATTTTCTCGGTTGTAATTTTCTGGAAAATTACGGTTTTGGGAGCGATTTTCCGAGAAAATTTCAATTCTGGCTATCGGAGAGTTCCGGGTTTGAGAGATTCCAGCTAACGGATATATTACTTGTACAGTATATACCAGAGTAAATACATGTCCCAATATCTATCATCCGTGATCTCATAATGTTTCACACAGAGTATGGACAGATACTTTTTTGAGATTCTGTCCATATTATACAGTACTGTACTGCACTTCTACAATGTGCCGTGGTGGCCACATTGAGATTATTTTCTCTGCAGTGGCCCAACAACTTTACTATATTGTAAACTTAAATGTTTCTCTTGTATTTTAGTTCAGTATACAATATTATGCCCAGTGCTTGTATACTTAAAAAAATAATTTGTATTTGATTTCTTGCAGGGTTACAAAGACAATCCAAAAGTTAATGCAATATTTGTAATCAAGGGAAGATTAGATGGTAAGTTTTTCTTAAAATTTTCTCAGTTCATGTTGATAAAATGACCCCAAACAGTGTCTGGTGTGGAATACAGCTGTATAGAAATGATAATGTAGGGCTGCCTTAATTCTTGTCTTGTTGTCGTACTTCCTATATACTTTACAGTATTTCTTATTTTTCATTTTTTCAGATGTTCCGAAGCTGCCGCCATTACCCAGAGAAGAAGACCTTGACAGTGATATAGAAGAACCCAGGCCAAGTGCAAACCTGCAAAACAATAACAACCAGAATAACAAACAGTCACAGACCACGAAGCGTCGTCCCAGTGGACCCCGTACTCCCGACCCCTACGCCTTAGATGACACTAGCTCCATGCTCCCAGTTTTTGTTGCCATTGGGGCAGCTATACCCATTCTCTTTTGCCTCTGTAAACTGTGATGAATATATTTTCTTCAAATTTTCCAAAGCTAAGTGAAATATTGTGTTGATTTTTGAAAAACTTCTTTTGTATCCCAATACCTCTCTGTTAAAGAATATTTATTGGGAAGGTATTCATCAGTATTCAAATGGTAATGGTGCAAAATTATTTTGCGTTGTCAAATGATTGTGTTCCGAGATGCTTAACGATCAGAATGGCCAAATGGATGACAGTATTAGAAAAATGGTGAGTATTAAACATTTTTTAATCTTAAAAGGTAAGGATTGATTTGGTGCTTTGAATTTTCCTTTTTAGGCATAATGGAGATTATTAACGATGACATTTGCAGTGTTGGGGGATCCACAGCAACCGGGAGTAGGTAGGGATACCATGCCATTATTTTGCTGGAATAGGTAGGGATACCATGCCATTATTTTGCTGGAATAGGTAGGGATACCATGCCATTATTTTGCTAGTCTTTGTGGTGCTCACAGACATCTACTGGTACCGGGAAACTTGTGGGCCTCCCGTGTTTTATTTTTTCTTATCATAAGTGATAAATTAACCAAAGATTGCTTTGTTCTTAGAACAAAGGCTTTGAAGTCTTTCTTGGGATCCAAGTTGTGTGGTATGTACACATCTTAGCTTTTATTGTGAGAGGTAATGGAGAATATAATTAATGTTTTTATCACCCTTCCAGGAGTGCATTTATTCTTAACACGTTTAGGTAATTAATTGTGTTTTCTCCCTAAACACTAAGAAGAAATGCAACCATTAAGTTAGATGTGATCATACATACAACCCTTCACCTTCACTTCTATAGTGTGGGTACAAAAGGGTACTGTACTGTATTAGTTCATTGAAGGTGGCACAAACATAAGGATGATATTTGCATGTACAGTATTTTTGTACAACTTATTCATTCCTTCTGTCCAGGTTTCCAGTAGAGAATGAGATAAGCTGTAAAGTATTGCTGAGTTATATTGCGTCCATTTCTTAAGATAAGTGATTTGCTGGTTGATGAGGAAACCTTGGATTAGATGTGAATTTGCTTAATAAATATTTGACTTCGAAGTTTTCCAAAATAGTCTTAGTTACGTATTCTGATTTACAATTTTGTTACTTCAGCTTATTTGATATTTATAGATTAATTTTCATGCATTTATTTACTTTTTGCTAATTTGTTTTTCTCTGCACGTTTTATTTTGTGGAATAGCGAGTTTATGGTAAGAGAAGGGTGATGAGGGCTTTGTTGACACATTCTTTGGCATTGTTGCAAACATACTACTACATAGAGCAACTTGAAGTAATTGTTTTCCAGGCTATACCTGTATGGCTTGTCCAGAGTGGTCCTTAAACTAATGAAATACACACCAGTTGCCTGGGTAGTGGTGTACAACACTTGGCTTTACCATTTGTACCGTTAACCCTGCGGCACTATGGCAGGAATTTAGATATCTTTGTATATCTCATCTGCCTTACAAACAGGTTACTGTAAAGTTTAAAGTTACATTTTCTGTTGTATATCTTAGTTTTGGTTGAAGAATGTGTATAACCTGGCTATGTTCTTGTTAGCACACTGGCTAATTGGCAAATGTCTGAGTGTCATACAATATTCAGTAAACCCCTTTCATTTTTGGAAGCTTATTATTTTTTATTTAATATTTGTGACGGGAAATATTTTCCATTGTACTATATTGTATATTTTTAAAAATGTTGGTGGGTGTTATTCTTAAGTTTATATCATTCATGAATGAAATAGTGATTACTGGTACAGTATTGGGGTGTTGTATGCTGAGCACTGTGTTGCTGAACAATAACCTACTGAATATCTTGTAAGGGACTGATCTCGTTGTTCCTTGACAATCCTTTTACTAGCAAAAAGTATTTGAATTATGACTTGTGATACATAGTATTGTAGATATCTTAGTGTTCTTTCAGCATAGATCACTGTCATGTCTTCAGACATCTTTTATGATGTTGGTTAACACATGAGGTTCATGTTTTAAGTGCAACACCAAATGTAGTAAGATATCTACTGAGTATACACATATCTGGCCCTCTATCTCAGTTACCTTCTCCCTTTTTTATTTTGAAATATTTCTTTATGCATAAAACTAAAGAATGCATTGTTTTTAACTTAAGGCATGACAGTGCCAGGTAACAAAAGTGCATCTTGTGTGTAAATGATTTGTAAATTACTGACAAGGGTACTTAAATACAACCATGGAAACTGACTAATGTGTGCCATACACCAATACAGTACTTATGTTGTACTGAAATGAAAACAAAAATTTTAGTCATGGGGGTCTGTTTATAAACATTAAGCTCCTGTTTGTACATAAGGAAAAGATGGTTTATTATAGAGAACATGTTACTCTGTTTTATTTTGACCAGGGTGAATCGATAAACCCTATACTGTACTGGGTGGTTACTTCTGGTGGCTTATCTTAGGTAGATAAACTAAGCAGATCTCTTTGTTACACACTTAAATGGTTCAAATAATTCTATGGTTATTTAGTTAATGAAATTTTAAGCTTAAGAGATGAACATGTTCACAGAATGTATGTATAAAGTGAGGAGATAAGTGTGCACACCTTCAGATAGTGTCATGGTTCCATTTACCTAATACTGTACTGTAATGTAAAGTTGAGTATTTTAAAGACTTTGAGTATTATAGTGACAGTATTATCTAGTAGAGAGTTTCCATTAGTTTATCTTCCTTTTATCCTCACCTCCCTTATAAATTCCTGTACATTATGGGTCTGGAGTTTTCATTCATATTTCTCATCACGTTTAACATCCTCACACAATTTTTCACTGGCTAAAGTACACTTGGTGCCTCTTTAACTCTCACTTTCGTCCTGATGTATCTAATGATAAAGATGTTTAATCCCATTTGCTCTTTTTATTCAATATGCTTTTTCTCCCACCATGTTGTCTCATACTAACAGTTTGTGGTGTTTTGAAAATTGTATGTAACCCAAGCATTAGAGATGGCCATAAAACATTGAGGGTTATCCAGTATTTGACTCCCTACCTCACTCTTGTGTCTCATTTTCTTGTTGATACACTCAGAAAAATGGTGACCTTATTTATTTACTGTATTTAAAATTAACCTTTACAATGTCTTAAGTTCACCTGTAAAGATATTTTTTCAATAGTCTCCATATGTTAAGTCTATACTGTACTGTACTTAGAGTGAGACACAGAGGGTAGTGGTAATTTTTTTCCATTTACACTTGAACCTTATGTATGTGTGTGGATCATTTATACTGGCTGCTTTAGCTTTCTCCTCTCACTTGTTATGGCTGCCTCTTCTCTACCTTTCCCCCTCCTTAAGGTTCTTATATCCATTCCCATGACCTACCCAACACAATGGTGAGAGAGTTAAGACAATTTATTTGTATATGCAGTAAAAAGAAAAACGTAATTCATTCCCCTAAAATTCTAAATCTCTCGTAATTCATAATGTTTTGCTGTTACGAAAAAAAAAGTAATATATGGTAAAAAAAAAAATTATATATATATATATCCTCCCCGACTTACGACCACCCGCACTTACGACCTGCCTCAGTCGTAGCAAAATTTGGTCAAATTACGTATTTTCGAGTCCATAAGTCAGTACACAGACAAAATTTTTGTTTGTAATTCACTTTAAAATGGCTGGCAAGCTTAAAAGTGAGTGTTTTGTGGTGCTGAGAAGAAAAAGAGAGACCCATTTTAGATTTTCTATGTATTATTTAAGCATTTCCGACTTACGACCATTTCGACTTACAACGTGGATTTGGGTCCCAAACCCCGTCGTAAGTCGGGGATAGAGGGGAATATGAAGATAAAGACGAAGAAAAACGTCAGCCGTGAATAGTGAACGAGTATAGGATAATTTTGGTAATATTTTGTAAATTTTTGGATTATGAGAGACATTTATGAATACAATACAGTATACAGTACAGAATATGATGCATGTGTCACCATGGGATGCAACCGCCCGCCTCGGTGTTGAGGGCACCAAGTGAGAGCGGTTTCAAGATCAGACTTGACCCACACTGGAGCAGGTTCAGATACATTCAGGAGCTCGTTCATGCCCAGTACTTGCCACCAGTGCGTAACATAGACGTGACCGACCGCCCAAGCGGCTAACGAGCCGATCAGTGGTGAAGAGGATAAATGTAAAAGTAAGTACTATACGTGTCATGCGTGTTGGTCAGTTGAAGCGTGCACATCTATGGTCTGCCGCACAAGCTTTTCCCAATTGTTTTCCATCATTTCCCGGTGTTTTGTTTTGTTTTTTCCCTCGGGAGAAGGTGTCTCTCATATTTCATTAAATTTCACAATTCATAAAGGCTAGAGCCCCTATTATTTCGAATTGTGGGGTTTTTACATGTACTGTACTTCTCTTTCAATTTTCGGTTGCTGAACAAAGGAACACTCATCCTCTTGGACTGTTACTTTAAAACCTGGCCTAACTTACTGGAAATTGGCAGTACAGTATTGGATGTTGTGCTTTGCTTAAGCTATACAGTAATTATTTTTGATGTTAAAGCTTCCAGCTGTCTGCATGCATGGAGTTAGTGGCTTTGATTTAAAAGTAAAACTGATATATTTCGTTGTTTTTAAGGGTTAAAAATTTTCTGACAAAATACACCATTTCAGGTTTGCATCATAAAATGTCAACATTTATTAGGCAGTTGTAAGGAACTGGAGAGAGGTGTGGATGGATATGTTCTGATGGTACATTTGTTGCATAATGAAAATGTAGGCTTTAGGACATAAAATGAGGAAATGTGGAATAGGAATACTAATGTAACTGATTAGCAGAGTCAAGTGAAACAAAGGATAGAAGGGAATATCATGAAGATACAGATAAAGAAAAAGGTCAATAGTGAATAAGTATAGGATAATGTTGCTTCTGTTAAGAAAGTTGTGAGCTTTGACCAGACTCCTGATTTGTTTAAAGAATGGAAAATATTGAAGGAAGTTACTTTAGTAATGTAGTACACAAAGTCTTATGTGTAAGTTGTTGACATAAGTTAGTGTTATAGGCTGGATGGATGAGATGAAGGTACAAGAAGATCCCTCAAGTTTGCTTAACGTAGAGTGTGGTTAATTTGACAAATGTGAATTATCGGGACCTGGGGAACTTGAATCAAAAGTACAAGGTCGGGTACAGTATATACAATGTGTAAACATGGACACAGGAACCATAGACCCAAATTATCAAGTATACTGTTTTCATGTACAGCACGGTAAAGTTTCCTAATGCCCAAAACACCCACTTATATAACACCGCCGCTATACTACATCCCTACTTAAAAACTTTCAACTTACGAACTTTCATACATACGCACAAACCTGTCTAAAAGCGTACGAGTCCTTAGTTCTACCCACGTACAATAGATGGTGTTAGTGTGCTATTCCCGGCCAAGTGGCAGCAATTTAAGTTGATGTTGTCTCTTTGTTTGAAGCGTTACGTTGGTGATAATTAATTTCCTGTGGCTTTTACGAACATTATTGACCCCAATATGTCCGAGAAGCATGAAAGTAGAGTGCCATTGATGAGAGTGAGTAAGAAAAGAAAGTGGCAATAATAAAGCAAGTGTAAAGGGGTGATAAGATGACAAATGTGCCTCATGCTTTCTGATTGAATCATTTGTCTGTTGATACAATTTTAAAGAACAAAGAAAGAATTATGGAGCATGTGAAGCATTCTGTGCCTATACCATCATAAGTAAGAAAAGAGGAAAATTGCATGTTGTGATGGTGGCTGTATAGTTCTCAGGTAAACCATACAATAAATTATGATGGAGTACTGTGTTGTGGTTGAGCTGTACATAAGGTATATTTAACACATTGTTTGCAAGTGATAGAGGTGACTTTGGATTTGCCAACGAATGGACTTACGAACAGACTTCTGGAACCAATTATGAATGAAAGATCTGAGTGAGGAAATGAGTGAGTGTGTGTGTGTGTGTGTGTAAGAATGCTTGAAAAGATATAGGATGTCTAGTTATACATATACAAGGGGTAGAGAGAAGGATATGGAAAGTTAGATAGAAAGGAATGAAAAAGAGAATAAATAAATAATGGTGAATGAAAAGATACTGTGGAGGAGAGAGTCAATCCATCTGAAAGTGCTTTTACGTACAGTGAATAATGTTTAGATGAAGGAAAAGAACCATCTGCTACATATAAGATATCCCTCTTTACCCTTTCTTAGTTGTACTTCCATTCTCAACCTAAGCTATCCTAAGCCTAAACTTAACCTTATCTAACCAGTCTACCACATACTGTAGTTTGCTAAGAATCTACTTCTTTTTTAAATGCATGAAAATTTGACATGTACGACAAACAAACATGACAATACTGTACTGTATATATACATTTTGAGTGCGATAGATAATCATATCCCCTAACAAGTTTACAGGTTAGTTATGCATGCTGCTGCTGCTGCTGCTGCGTGTGCCACATTCACGGCCTAATCCTTTAGTGAATGCAATAACTCCTAAAGGGGCAGTAGCCTCCCTGACTTGGACAAATCTGGTCAAAGCAATGTTCTTAATCAAGGGACTGGAGGTGTTTAAAGCTTTATCGCTTGTTTCATTTTAGATAAATTCTTGTATTTGGAGTGTAGTTAAACTGGTCAGTGTGAGAAAAAGGTAGAGGAACAAGTGTCACATTTACACAATACTGTACTGTACTACTCAACAGGGAATGGTGAGCGAAGGTAAGGTTAGGGTGGTTAATGCTGATTAAAGTTTCGAGTGCAACTTAGGATAATATAAAATAGTTGTTTAGAGACCCATTGGTTGCCATTCATTCCTCTTATTTAAGTTTATTTTGGTAAAGCACAAATTTGAATCACGGACAAACGTTTGCTCCCCTTGGTGAAAGTTACAGTAAGTCACGGGAATGAGTCTCCAAACTGACTTACCCCGACTGTCATCTGGTGTGAGTGTGTTGCTTTATTTACTTTTGGGGTTGATACTGTTTCACTTTTCATCCTGACTGTATTTATAATATTAATTTCAACTGGTCATGATGAAGTTTAAACAAATACAAGCGCACTAGAATCTCTCAGTTTGGGTTAATTCATACCAGACTCTATTGTGATCTAGCACTGCATAGTTCATAGCTCTTAAATAGTCAGGAAATATCACACTTTACAGATACAAATGATGAAAGGTCTTGGCATATGATGGAAGAAACTAGTAGAAACTGGTAAATACTAAAACAGTTAAATTTGATCAGAACCTTTGACTTGGTGAGTGAGGGAGCCATTTGATGCTGTGTGACTGTGTGCTTCTTTTTTCCTTATTGTGGATGAAAAAAAATAGTCTTTTTCAACCTCTTTCCACAATCTATTGACTCTCGTGATGGGGCTGATGTAAAACAGAGTCAATTGGCTGACCATACAAAAAGATTTGAAATGTGGTGGATTATTTCACACTGTACAATATTAACAAATAAAATTTAGACTTTTATGACCAATGTATATTCAGTATTCATACAAATACTGTCGGGAAAAACCTGGAGTCTAATACAATATATATTTAGTTTATATTATTTTGTGGACTGTATAGTACTGTAATGCTACTGTACTCTCTTGTATGGGATACCACATTCTTTTGGACTTTTTGTATTTAATAATAATAATAATAATTTGTCATTTTCACCAAGGATAACTAACAAAGCCATGAAATGCTTATTTCAGTAATGTCCTTATTATTTTAATGGATATTTTGTACACCTTTCTGCCCCTATAATCTGTGAAACACCATTGTGGTAACAAATTAAGAGCCAATTATTAAATTTCACGGTAGTTTCATTGTACAAATTGTTAAGTTTCTTCTCTGGGTGAATCATCTTTATTGTCCATTTAGAAATTAATTTTTTTCTATTTAAATTTTTGGATCCCTGAATTAGCTAACTACAGTAAGTCTTGAAGAGTTTACAGCATAGTCTGTTGTTATTACAGTACAGGTTAACTTTTGTATTGTTTAATTAATAATGTATTCTC